CCTACAGTGCCTAAGAAGTGGTTCATCATAATCTTCAGCACCTTCCTAGACCAAGCTTTAGCTTCCAGTACTTGCCCATGTTCAGCCTGCAATCACACCTAACCCACTTCACTTAAAACGATGCATTTGCACAAGTGCTAAGCATAGTTTCATAGTAACTTGCACTTATTGGAAATAAATTGTCTTAGCTTGAAGCTTTTGAATTGTATTTGCTGGGCTAGAATAGTTAGAAATAGTTAGAAAAATCTTATATTTTAGCTTCTAAAATGATCGAATGTGATCTGTAAACTCCTAAGAGAAAATGACTTTGGCAAGTGTGCTTTTTTAAGAGTAGCTTTTCTGATTAAAAACACACTTTAAGAGGCAATAATATGAGAAAAAACAGGACAGTTAACTACTAAAGGTTAAATTTTCCTAGAAAGTCTTTTAATGCCTGGTTACAGACAATAAATCACACGGAAGAAAGAAGCATTTACAAAGATGCATCTAGTCCAACTGAAAAATATAGATTTATTTTACCTAATTATTCATCTGAACAAATGATTCTCAGTTGCCTATGCAATGGACTTTAAGAAAATGTGGCAAGAGGTTTGCAAGTGTAGAAGATAACATGAGAAGAGAACTCCCTTTTTCTTACTATTTTGTTTGTTCTCTTATTTTGTTTCTTTTCTAAAAGCCGTATAGTTGGCGTTTGAGAATGTCTCTTAAAAGCTGAGTAGACACCTGTTTTCATGGAAGAGAAATGAAAGCCAAGTGAAAACTTCCTGAAATGCTACCAAAGCCAGAACTTCCTGTATTTTAAACCACGACCTTTTTTCCCTCCAATCGCCTCAAATTCCTTGTTGGCGTTTGCTATTCCCTCTGTAGCTTCTGGTCCTCCTAAGAATGAGAAGCCTATCTTTTATCTGTTTGGCATGCGAAAATGCATTTTTCTCCTCTCAATTATTTTTAATGCTTGGGAGGAAAAAAACTCAGAAGTTGGTGAATATTTATTCAGGCTGCTTTGGCAGCATTTCATTATTTAAGACATAAATCAAATTTGGAACTTCTTTTTTCCTGGAGGACAAACTGTTTCTCTGAATTTGAATGTACTTGTGCATCAGTCGTAGGGATGGTACTTGTGCTACTGCTGTGTAATAGCAATAATTTGTATTGTTTTACATTGTTTTGCTCTATAGCATTAAGGTAGTCAGGCTGCACACAGATGCAGAGTACATCACTGTCCATGGATCAGAGCCATGGACCTCAGTCCTCCGGTTACATGCACGTTTATCAGTACACACTCCCAGGATCAGAGCCATGGACCTCAGTCCTCGGTTACATGCACGTTTATCAGTACACACTCCACTAGCATCAGCAGAACTCTGCCAGCAGGTAAAGTTAAACAGTGTGTGACTGGTTTGTGGGGTCTGGGCCCAAGATGATTCCCAAGACAAAGCCCGTTGAAGGATCAGAGCTCCAAGGCTTGTTCACAAGGAAATGCTTAGGAGGGGAGTAAATAAATAATTTTTTGAATTGGCTACTAGTTTGTACTGTCGCCCTATTTGGCTCCGTGGCTCTTAGTTAACGTTTTAACATTTATGACCCTTTCATATGGTATAGTGGGTTGCAGCTTCATGCACTTTGAAACGGACAGTGCGTTCCTTGTGTTCAGAAATCTCGTCCTGCATTAGCAGCTTTAGGAGTGGAAAGAGGTTTATTCCTTTAGTAGTATCTGCCAAAGATGTTTAAGGACACACAAAGGCAAGTGCTTTCCCAACAGAGTACACAGTTATCTGTTTTGCAAAGACAATCCAGAGTTACTTTTTATACTTCTGAGCCTGACAGTGTATAGCGCTTTCATTCACACGCAGGGAGCATTGACTTTTATCATACTATTAGCATTCTAAACTCACAGTTTCAGAGGTTTATAACTCAACAGTAGGTTTAGACTCAGTAAATTCAGCCCAGGAGCACTATTTTTCAGTGTAAAAGACATCTTTAGTTACTACAGTATCAAGTAAAGTGGCCTTTGCTTATTTCAGGCTTTCTTAAAGGTCTTAGATTACAAATTTTTTTTGAAAAAAAAAAGAAACTCTTGAAAAAATGAATTGCTACAGAGTTTCATTCTGATGTTCCTGAGATTGCTACCTTCCTTTGACATAATTGGAAAAAAATTGCAAAGGCTGAGTGATAGGCGCTTAAAATCAACTCCTGAGAACTCATAATGGACCATATTCCATATATTCCTGTGTGAATCTCACTGACATCGGTGGATGCATTCTGTACACATCCTATTTTTAAAATCCTGCATGCATAATCACTGTTAGCATTGTTACAGTATCTACCATGGGTGGGTGCAACTCTGAATGCAGATTTGTACTATCAGCCATAATGGTTGTCTCCTGAGAGTTATTGCTGTTCTGGACTTTTAGGTAACTAATCCCATCTCACACACACACTTTCAGATACTTTTTGTCAAAGAAAATCAAACACTTCAGAATACATATTTATATGACACACTGTTCCAGTCTGTTGGATAAATTATATGCATTTTACAACATTCACTTACAGAGACATATAGGTTTATATATATTATAGTAACAGCAAAATAATGTTAAGCTTATGGTAGAAGGTGCCATGAGCCCAGAAAATGTCAATGCCAAGTACACTGTACTAGATGCCAGATGTTTTCCTTTCTTTCATAAAACTGTGTATGAAAGAGAAATTTTAATTTCATCTGCTTGGGAATGGTATGTATGTATTACAGCCTGATTTTTTTGAGTGTGAGATATTGTGTGTTTAATTAACATTACTTCTGTGTGTTTAGGTAATTACCATTAGAACACATGAGGACATATTGTACTTATTGCCTGTGCTAGAGCATAATGTGCCGGACTACACTTGTTAAGCTGATTTTAGCATTTCTTCACACAGCAGGAAGCACCCATGCTGTGGTTTCTTAATGTACTCTTTAACTACTGCACTGTAGAGTACTGTACAATAAAAATAATAATTAATTATGATCCTCATCTTATCAGTACTGCTACTATCCCAGTGACTCTGGTTGCTGTTTCAGGGTTCCACTATCCAGTACCCTGAAACGCACATCTTTCCTTTCAGAGTTTATTTCTTAGATGATATTGCTGAACAGAGCTGAATTTTTTGAGGACAGGTTTGTTGCATGGATTGTGATGGCTTCGCATTTGTTCAGGTCTCCAAGGACCGCACCAATAAATGTGAAAGAGACAACGGCAGAATGGCATACTTTCCTATTTCCACCAGGATGAAAAAAAAAATACTCTAAATTAAGTCTAACCTTAAATGTATAATCTGTCCTTGGGAGAAAAAAAAAAAAAAGGATATAGCATCTTCAAGCTCTTGGCATCCCTTACGAGAAAAAATTGGTTCTAAGGGTCTCTGATCTTGTGTTTTAGTAAAATAGAACTGCACGGCTGACTGACAGTTCTGATCTAAAGCATTTACGTTTAAGTTTTGATCTCTCTGCTTTTGATTAAAACTAATGAGCTCATTTAATTCAAAATGGGAATCTCTGATAAGAGAAATAAGGTTGATGTGATTGGATTAGAGGGGCAAATTAAACTCTTAGAGCAGAAGTTTGTGCTTATATAGTGTATTAAAAAGCTGTTGGCGTATTATGGCGTGTTAGATGATGAGAAAAATTTCATAGTAATTCATATTTAATCAGAAGAAATGAAAGTACTAAATATAACATGGCTCTGCTTTTCCCTCGAGTGATAAAGAGCTGTACATTTAAAATGACATCGAATTCATGCTCTCTAGAACAAAAAAAATCTTAAGAGAGACACTAAAGGAAGGGGCACTGTTATCAGATATTTCATCACAATAGAGCTGAAATGTCACAAACACAAGACAACGTGACCACATTAAATCAAGGACAATTCGATATAATCCTTAGCTCACAAACAAGTTTTTGTGTTTCTGTTGACTGCATAACAAAGTCTTTTTGAATACTTCCTACTAGTAGTTTGGTCAGTTCTCCAACACAATAGCAGAATAATTTCAAAATAACTTTTTTATTGTTAATGTGTTAATTACTTATTGAAAGTGAAACTTAGTTAATCTCCAATAATGCTTGCTTGTTGTAAGCTACTCCTGAATTTTCCCATGAACAATATTTTGGGAAGAGGTTGGTTATCAGGGCTAAAACCAGCAATAATAAAGGTTGTATAAAGAATATCTCAGTGCTGACTAGGGTAGTACCCACTGGTTTATCATGGTTTATACTAAGAGTATTTCTTTATCATTTTAAGTGGTTGCAGTGGAGAGAGAGAGAAGCACAGGTGAGAGCTATAGTTTCAAGCAGGAAATATCTCTTAAATTGGACTACAAAGACATTTCTTTAGTGACTAATTAGTCACCAATAATTAACAACGATGATGATGATGATGATGACAATAATAATAATGTGTGTCATTTACTTGAGCATTTTTGCCTTCAGGCAGCTCAGTGCTTTATTGATAATAATTAACCCTCAAGTAATGGGGAAACCAAGGCACTCAAACCCAGCAGTGACTCACCCTAGGTATCACTGTTAAGTGAGGAGTGGGGTCTAGGGAATAAAAGGCTGCAGAATTTGAAGCCTATTTCAGCAGACAGGATTGCTACCTCGGTGAGACTTCGCCTTTCACAAAATGCTGAAGAAGTCCCCAGTTTTTAAAATGGTGTCATACCCTAACAAAATAAAAATAACTCCAGTCAGAACAAAATTGTATAAGAAAGAGTTAATGAGTAAAATCTCTGTTAGAAATTCTATGGGAAAAATAACTTGAAAATGAGACTTACTGAGTATACATATATTTTTCAATTTTTTTTTTTTGCTAAGTAAACATTTTCTAAATGAGGTAAATTGATTACAACACTCTTAGCATCCATCAGTCATTTATTTTTAGTGAGTTCAAGGATTGCACCTGAAAAATAACTTAGAGGGTATGTATAAAATCTGAATTATGTGTATATGTATTTTTTCTATTCCCTAGTGGAATCTACAAGCCCCAGTTTACTAACCACTGACAACAGTCTAGAGCGCTCTTTTTTCATCCGAATGAAATCTACACTGACCAAGCGAGGAGTGCACATCAAATCGTCAGGATACAAGGTAAGGGTTGCACTGTAGCATGAAATATCGACATCTTTAAATCATGTTCGTCCGTTTTCCAGGGCCACATTAATAGACAGAGAAAGGAGCTATTTCACATTTGCATATGTCTCATTCCTTTTGTTAAAGAATCATTAATACAATATTTTCAGCCTGAGGTTTGGCTTTGGTACTACACCTCCATTAAGTTGTTCATTATTATGATAAACATTGGTGATAACAGCATGCTAGCCTTCAAAAGAGCAATACTTCCAGAGTAAAGGTATATTCCACCAAAGAAGGTGAGTCAGAGTAACATCACTTTTTCCATAGTGGAAAATTACTGCTCATTTCGTTAGACAGTTAGTCATCTTTGGGTTATGTTTTTCCCAGAGAGGTAGGATTTCTTCATGCAGACAGTATGCTAGAGCTATTTAATTTCACTGCTATTCTGGCTGAAGGAAACAGCAAGCCACAACGAGTACTTTTCCACCATTTTTCTTTCATTGTCTGTCTGAGGGGCATCTGCTGCTGGAGATCCTATTTGCTGGATTTCAGACTCTTTTAAGATATGAAAGTCTCTTGTTCCTTATCAGCAGTAATCTCATTTTTCTTCAGTCATATATTGCTCATAGTGCCTGTAGCTATCAGTGGTTTTGCAGTATACTAAAACTAGGAGGAATAGCACATTTTTACCATTGTCAACTTGTGGAATGAAATATGTCATCCATTAAGTATTATACAAGATAAAAGAGTCGTGCAAGAAAGAAAGTCTGAAAATGTGTGTGTATTTAAAGAAGTCGCTTGTCAACATTCATTTAAAAACTTTGGCAAACATTTTTTTCAGTTTTCAGAGGAAGATTTAAAGGAGCTTTGAAGTAAAATTTCTCAAATCGCTTTTTCCAAAAAAATCTCTGTGAATATAGCATCGAGGTAGTCTACCTGAGCAGTAAAAATCTGGTAGAAATGTCTTCTTTGCAAGCAAATGACTGGGAGTCCTTCTGTTGGATAGTTTCTGGATCAAGATGATTAAAGTAGTTGCTGATGGAAGTTTAGGTCCAAATCAGTGGTTTCTTAAGGCACCGCAGGTTTTGATCTGTGTGCTGCTTAATTGTCAACACCTGAAAGAATGCACTCAGTAGTTGTTCATGCTGACCAGTTTACAAGTCTGAGGAGGTATCAAGACCAGGGATCTTACTGGTAGTCTCAGGGGAAAGAAGGCAAAATGAATGAATGAATGAATGAGTGAGCAGGTCATTGAATTTGCAATAATTTTCATGATTAGGTATGGCTAGACCAAAGTTAGATTGGCAGAAAACTTGCTTTTGCTGCAATAGTAACGGGAAAAAATAGAGAATTTGTCTGTGGATTTCGTAGTCTGATGTTTTTTGGCAGATGTAGGTAAGAACAAAAGGAAGATATGTGAGTGACTTTGGCGTTTTCTTCTCTTGGGCTCCTGACAATCTAATGTTAGTCCAGGACCAGAATAGGACATACCTAGAATGGGCTGGCATCACCAGGTGGGTTTTTCACTCGTAACAATACAGTTTTTGAAATTCACAGTAGACTCTTTACTCAAAAGAAAGGCACAGTAATGTCTATCATGTAAATACAATTTCATTTCTCTTTTAGACCTGCTGATGCCTCATGGAATCACTGAAGACCATAACTGAGATGTCACAGGTAGAGCAGAATGAATTTTGAAAGATGAGACATAATTTTCTAGCCAGCTTTTCCTAGACACAAAGAACAGATAAAAAGAAAAAGTATGATAGTCACCAAAACTGTCTGTAAATAAAACACTTGGTTTTTTTCCATGAGGCATCAGCAAGTCAGCATGAGTAAACAGTGTGCAAGTCCTAGGCAGGTGTAAATATAGATGAGTAGTTCTTCTGCTTTTTGATATTTTCAAGGATTTTGTAACTGACAGTGTTTGGCCGAATTCAGCTGTGTCCAGCCATACGAATTGTTCTTTGACAGTTTTTCAGAAGCATGGTTATTAGCATTGTATGTTCCATGGAATGATAATTATCCACAGCCTCAGTGAGCCCCAGAAAAACTGTGTATTCGTTTTAGAAGAGTTAGATCACGTGAATGTCTTTTTAACCTTTTATTCCAGGAAGATTCACCTGGAATTTGTTTAAACGTCATTCTCGGTGTATTAGACAATCACAGTAAAACACAACTGCTATAGTGAAAGTCATTCACACTTTTTGGAATGTTACCAATTTGTTCATTGATTTCTAAAAGTCCAGTACTAGAGCAAACTTAAGGCTTCTAGAATTTGTTCAGGTGTATATTTTATTAAAATTAAGAAAGATCCATGAGCCCTATAGATGCACAGCTATAAGAAATTATCAAAGAGAAGAATAGTTACATAATATTGACAATGCTCATGGGAATAGCTGGCTACGTTCTGCATCAGAGGTCCCTGGAAGAACTCCAGCACTTGCTCAGGAAACACTATGCCAGCGGGGGTCAAGTGCAGCAGAGTTCCTGTGCGAAATCCTAGTGGAGCAGATTGACTCAGGAGCGACTGTCTCACACCTTCAGAATACCACAGAACACTAAATTTTCCCTCTGCAAAAAGCAAGGGCTCCTGGCTCACAGCTTCCCTTGAGCTCTTGTGTCATTGTGGGTGGGTAACCCTCTTGAATCAGCATACAAGCATTCATCAGGGCCAGTGTGCTGGGAACTTCTTATATCTTATGTGAGTCAGGTTTTAACTCTGTCAAAGGTACTCAGTTCCCTGTGGATTCAATCCTCCAGCAGTGACAAAATTTTTCATCTTTGTGAAGTGGTTGTGTCTTGTTCCAGACTCTTACTGCACTCAGAACATCTCCATTTTTTCCCTCGCATTGAGCACTGCTGATGAATGTTTTCTTTAGAAAGAAAATGATTGAGGTGGTCCACAAGATGCTTAGCCAATTTTCAGAATGAGTGATCCCTGCCTCAGGAAAATCACATAAAAATGAAAACAGTCAGAGAATGAGACTGATTAATCATTCCAGTTGATCTAGTCAGGACTAATTTTCTATGAAAAGAAATGTTGGAACAAACACTGATAGACTTACACATATGTAAACCTCAAAGAGATGTTGTTCCAGATCATTCTGATGTGAGATGGACCCTGTTTATGGTCCCTTCCTGGACTGATTTAATCAGTCCTGAATTATACGTGAAGATGGAGATAATCTTTTTATCTCCTGAATTATCTTTTTTTCCCTGAATTATATTACCTTAAAAGTCTGAAACAGGAAAGCAGTTACATGATCAATCCCCCCTCTCCCCTTTCATTGTTCCCCAGCACCCTCCTTGAATTGGATTTTCCTGTTCTTAATATTCTTAGGCTCAGAGCTTGCAGGAAAAGAGTTTACATACAGTGCTAAAGTGCTGTTCGTTTTTCAATGAGTAAATCTAAAAAAGTCAAATAAAACATAGTCAGCTGATAAAACATAGAAAACAAATAAAAAGAAAAAAATATACTTCCATTCACTGCAAAAAAAAAGAATGTATTACCTTTACAGCTGTTGTCTAAGATATATGATGCAGAGACTTACTGTTTTTCTCTGCTGAAAATGTATCACATCTTTTTTTAAATTTTTTTCATCAATAAAAGATAGTTTTGGAGGATTCAAATTTGGTTAGCTGTGCCTCATACATCAGTTGCTGTATATCAAAATATTTTAAATAATATTTAAAAATCCATAGAAGTGTTTTCACAATTTTGTCTTTGTAGTGTACATGAATTCATCTTTTTGTTTTGTGTAATGGTACCTTTCTACCAACTAGTTTAAAATTAAACATTTTCTGAGACGATGCTCTCAGATTTTCCATTGAAAATCGTAAAGTTAGTATTCTTTGATTGCTGATTTTGAAGACGGAAATCTAAATTTCTTGTTGAAATTTTATATCCATTACAGTTCTATTATCAGACTTTTTCACACTATTTCTGCCTTTATTCACAATTTAAAATTAATAATTTTTATTTTTTCTTTTTTTAGAAGAACTTCAAGAGTTGGGCAAGATTTGTAAATCTGAGTTATGCACTTTAAGTAGGTGCTATTTTTAGCAGAATTTAGATTGTTAATCTAGGAGGTCAAAAGAACCAAAAACTCTGTTGAAGAGACAAAATTGTGCCATTGCACTTGCCTTGTGATACCGTTCTCTTGATTCAATCCAAATTTGAAATGATTGTTTCCCATCTAAGTGGAAGATTCACCTGGAATTCAGAATCAAGATGTCTCTATTCCAAAATCACTTTAAGGACCCAATATATCATGGGCTTGCTAAGAACACAGCAGAAGACCACCTTCCATTTCAGGGGAACAGGAAGGAGGAAGAAAGAGAAGGCAGCTGGTTTTTTTTCAGAATAGTCTAATGATTAGTATATTTCTCGGATGTGGGCTATGTTAGAGTCAGATTTAATTCCCTCCTTAGCCTGAGGGAATTCACATATCCCACTTTCCAGCTTGGCCTAAATTTTCTTCTCTTCTAATATTTTCCCCCCTTTAAATCTTTTCTGACAAGCATTTTACTCTACCAGAAAGGTATCCTGACCTTTCTCTGTAGGAAGAAACAAAACTGCAGAATTTAGTATTTCATCACATGGCTACTGCCACACCTCCTTAATTGAGTGAAGAAGGAATAAGAAATCAACATCAGGAAGCATTATGTGAAGAGTTTTCTAAATGTCAGTAGATGCATTCCCCAGACTTTTCAGCACTGGGAAGACTTAAAGGTAATTTGTCAGAGAGAAAGAACTGATCGAGAATTCACCCATGTAAATCGATGACCTTTTAGTCAAAAGGAAGTCTCTTAGCTAGTAAAGATGCAGCATTACTTATAAAAGAACAAAATACTAATGGGCCAATCTGAGTCTTATGAAGTATCTACTTGTAGATATAAAGATACGGTTCAAGAAAAGATGGTCTGCAACAGGATTAAGAAGACCAGAGTTCATTTTATGCCTTGCTACAGAGCTGTGAGATTCTATTAGGACAGCTGTCTGGAAAAGCTTG